CACTCATGGAGAAATGAGAAGAGGTAGAAGAAGAGAGTACCACCATGGAAGATTTTCTTGAAGCTTGGAATCCTTCCCTTTAAAAGAATGAACTTTTGAAATATTTCGAAACCCCCGAGAAGCCTATTTTTTTTCTTTTTTTTCTCAGCACAACTAGCTCAAAACGTGTCCCTAGGTGGGCCGCTTGTGCACCCACAATTTCTGCTCGAGCGGTGAAGAACAACATGTGCAGTGAAGTCTGGCCGCATGTGTGGTGAGGTGGCAAGTTGAAAATTTTCACTACTTGCGCGAAAAATCTACTTTTACATTACTTTTCGCTTGAATTTATGGATTACTTGCCAAATCTATACAAATACATAACTTCACCAAATAAATAAAATTTAAAAATTATAATTATAACTTTAACGGTTTCAACGTGATATGTACCTTTTGACATACATCAGTATTTCTAATGATCCTACTTTCTTTTCTATCTTTTTCTTCTTTTTGTTTTTGTTTTTATTTTTGTTTTTTTTTCTTTTTCTGGTACACATCCTATCCCACTGACTCCTAGTAACTTAATGAACAAGGTTTGCAGTTTGTCCTATAATTTGGACATTAGCATGCCATTTATGAAAAAAATTAAAAAATTGGAGTCAATATCTTCACTCAGGCCACTATTTGCAGTCAATTTACAGGTGTTTGAAATAATTTAAATAAGTATATTTCTAATTTTTTTTTATTTGAATTGAATTTAAAGTGATATAGTAACATATTTCATGTTTTTTCTTAAAAAATAAAAAAAATATACTTATTTTAGATTATCCCAAACTCTCCTAAGTTGACTGTGTTTGGAGTAATTTAAATAAGTATATTTTTTATTTTTTTTTATTTGAGTTGAATTTAAAGTGAAGTAGTAACATATTTCATGTTTTTTCTTAAAAAATAAAAAAATATACTTATTTTAGATTATTCCAAACTCCCCTAAGTTGACTGTAAATAGTGGCCTGATTGAAGATATTGTTTTTTTATTTTTTTATAAATGAAATTTGAATTATGACATCTCCTCCACTGTGCTTGTTTGGCAGAAATTATTTACAGCTTATTTTAGCTTTCAGCTTAATTTAAGCTATTTTGATATGTTTGGTTTAGTTTATAGCTTATAACTTATAGTTTTGTGGAAGTCAGAAATCAGCTTATTCTTTGAGTGGGGCAGGAGATGCTTTAAGAATAAGCTGGAAATCAGCTTAAGCTGTAAGTTATAAGCTATAAGCTGTTTAGGCATAAGCTATAAGCACTTTCCCACAGCTCTACCAAACAGGGCTACTATCTAGTGTTGTTCTTATATTGCCACAAGATGCCAGTTAGGGTTCGTTTGGCAAGAAGAGTTTGAGATTTTTTTGGCTATTTTAGTCACAAAAGATAAAATAGGCTATTTTAGTCACAAAAAATAAAATATCACATCCAACCCATAATCATTACACTCTTCTCTCACAAAAAAAGTCAAAAAAGCCAAAAAGTCAAAAAGTCCTTCCCAAACCAAACTTTTTAGCCCAGACTAAAATAGCCAAAAAAATCAAAAAGTCAAAAAGTCAACCCACTTTCAAAAAGCCAAAATAACCAAGCTTTTTACTAGTGTTTTTGATTTTATTTTTATAAAAGTGAAATGGGTATGATATCTTAACATTGTAAACATTTTTATTGATGATAACTATACGGAACCTAGACACAGTTCGTAACTAAAGAGTTACATGATAAATATCAATTTTAAAGAGGGATTATTCATCATCGGAAAAGTCATTATTCTGTTTAAGTCACATCATCTTATTTAAGTCACATCACATCTCTATCACATCACTTCAAACCCAACTCATACCCAACCTATATTTCATAAAAAGTCAAAAAGTGCACTTAGGACATCCCAAACAACCCCTTAGAATGGGAACTTCTTTAAAAAATTGGCTTTTTAATTTTTTTTACACAAACAAGTCTCAAAAAATTAACTTTTTAATACAAAAAGTTAAAAAGTCAATTTTTTACCAACTTTCTAAGACACTACTAAATGATATAAATTTAATTTTATATAATGAAACCTATTTTTGAAATGCATCTCAACCGTTTAATTTTTTTTTCATATTATTTTTTTGGATAAATATTATGATTCCTAGCATTGGCTACTTTTGAGGTAGCCTCCATAAGGTAGTGTTACACAGTAGAGTCATTTAACTTGTAGCCATTTTTATTTTTCACTACCTAAAGTATTAAAAAGGTATGTTCTTTATTTTACTTAACTAACGCTACTCTTTATTTTACATATTTATCCACACAAACTAATTTAAAGACTCTCCCGATATTATTCAAATGTAGCTAGCCTATAAAAATCTTATTAAACTATCATACTAGCAAATCCTGAAAAGAGGATATGAGGCCAAGTTTGGCTACAAAGAAAAAAGTGCACTTATTTCATCTTTTTATCTTTTTTGGGTCACATCAATCAACATCTCCTCTCTACTTTTTCTACACATAATACAAAAAAAGTCAAAAATACATTTATTTAGTCTTCCCAAACTAGACCTGAATATCCAATTTGGGTATTGAAGAACAGTTCAAGCATCTATTTTGATAACATGCTTTACATTTTCCTATTAAGCCTGTGTTTGGCAAGTGGGTTTGCAGGTTTTTTTAGCTATTTTAGTCACAAAAAATAAAATAGGCTATTTTAGCCATAACAAACAAAACATCACATCAAACCCATAATCATTACATTCTTCTCTCACAAAAAAACTAAAAAAAATCAAAAAGTCCTTCCCAAACCAAGCTTTTAAGCCCAGACTAAAATAGCTAAAAAAACAAAAAAGTCAAAAAACCAACTTTCCAAACGGAGGCTAACTGTCCTTTCAGGTTCCCTTTTTCTCCTCATTTTTCTTTGCAGCAAATGGCCCTTCACTTCAGCTTAGACACATAAAGATCTGATCAACTGCATATATATTTGTTCTGGTTTAGGGCTGTAAACACATTTCCACTACCTGGAAAACAATCCACTTGTTTGTTTTCATTTCCTAAAAAATATTTTTTAGAAAATTTTACATTCTTATTTTTTGTATTTTTATTGAATTTTTTTAATATTTTAAATAATTTTTTTACTTTTTAGACACACCTAACAAAAATACACTTAAAAAGTAAAAAAAATGTAAAAAAAAATCTTTTAAAATTCACTAAATACCAAAAATACAAAAAAAATACAAGAATTCAGTACATTTTTTTATATTTTTATGTATTTATTAATTTTTTAAAATATTTTTTCACAAATTTTTTACTTTTTAGATACATCTAACTAAGATGCATCTAAAAAAGTAAAAAAAATGTTTAAAATTTAAAAAATATTCACTAAAAACAAAAGAATACAAAATCCAAAAAACTCAATTTTTAAAAAATTTAATCCAAAAAACTCAAACTAAACACACTTAACCGTTTGGGAAGGGCTTTTCCGGACTTTTTTTGGCTATTTTAGCCACAAAAGACAAAATAAGCTATTTTAGCCACAAAAAACAAAACATCACATCTAACCCATAATTATTACACTCTTCTCTCACAAAAAAAGTCAAAAAAGTCAAAGAGCCCTTCCCAAACCAAGCTTTTTAGCCCAGACTAAAATAGCCAAAAAAGTTAAAGAGTTAAAGAGTCAAAAAGTCAACTCACTTCCCAAACGGAGGCATCTTTTTCGCATTAGACTGAAAAGAAGAGTTTCTTCACTAAAGCTCATGTCATTTCAAAACAAACAAAAAAAAATCTCAAAACTCAAGTAGTTTGGAACTTATTTCTCAAATTCATAGTGTTTTGTGAAGTCATATTTTGAAAATGCAACTTCAAATTTGGGCAGGATAAGAGGAGATTTCCTTGGGGGAATTGCAATGTCATCGAAGTACAAGTAATTCTTGCATTCCATTGTGCAACTAAATCTCGTACTCTACTTTTTTACAATTATTTTGAGTCTATATCATTTAATTGACAGTTCTTCACACATCAACTAGTCAGGAGTAGGGCTGCAAATGAATAGAGCCATTTGTGAACAGGCTCGAGCTTGTTCGAACTCAGTTCGTTAATTTTTTTTTGCGTTCGAGCTCGAGCTCGAGCTCGTTAAATTTTTAATAAATAAGACCAAACATTCTAAAACTCGGCTCGTTAGTTGGCTCGTTTAATATTTATTATTTATTTATTAAATAATATAAAAATATGTATAAAAAATAAGAGAAATATGCTATTTATATATTTAAAAAATATAAATGTAAATAATAGTTAACTATAGATAGTACATTTATATAATAGTGGTAGTAGATATTATTATTTTAGTAAAATATGGACTTTTTTTAGTATGTTTATATATATTGTATATATAATTGTATAATCAAAATTTTAATTGTAACTTTAGTCTCACATGCATATGAATTTATAAATTTTTTAGCTCGTTAAGACTCGTGAACAGGCTCGAGCTCGAGTCGAGCTTAAGCCAACTCGGCTCGAGCTCGGTTCGTTAAATTTTTATTCAACTCGAGCTCGTTAAAATCTTAACAAACAAGCTCAAACATACTAAAATTCGACTCGACTCGGCTCGTTTGCAGCCCTAGTCAGCAGGAGAGAAGGTTCTTACCAGCAATAGAAAGATTAAGCTGACAATTATGATATTCTCAAGAAATTCATAGAAATGAGGATAGTAGATTGATCAAAACTTGCCTCAATATGCAGAATAAAAAACTATGCAAGAACTTTCTCAGTTCAACCAATGACTGTCTTTCACAAGGGAACTTGTTAGTTGTTACATGCTTATGCTGGAAAATTCATAAGCAAGGAAGGCCAAGGAAGATGACAGAATACAAGTGTAAAATGGAAATTTAAAGATAGTGCATCAAAAGAATCAATCCAAAATACACAAGCTATTTGGGCAGGATACTTTTTATATCATCTGCCAGTATAATGTGTTGAGCATTCTGTTTTACGTATGCGTATATTGTGATCAGTATATCTTTTTCGAACACATAATAAAAATGTTGATTCACTATGAAATACCAATAGGAAGATTTTCAGAGCTTTACTTGTGGGAAGTATCTTCAACCATATTCTTCTCCTATATTCTGTCGACATTTTACAAGATTTCAGGTTGGTTTTTTTTGCTATTACAAAACTCAACCAACCATAAAACTCTGAAAGCAACTTGTAAGCCCTTTCACAAGGGATGGTGGAACCCAAGATCATCCATGAGGTAGGTATCTTCCGATACGATATGATTCCAGTCAAGAAAACTGTGCTACTCCAGGACTGCAAAGTCTTTCCTACAATACACAAGATAAAAATGTCCAAATAAGTGTCCAATAATATGTGCACTCTAAGAAATGGATTAAAAGAAAGCAAGAAATAGGTACGCATAAGTTGATCTTCTCTTGCAATCTCTCGTATGGATCACTTTAAAGCCTCTTTCTTTATTTAGGTTGTGTTTGAATCTTGAATCTGTAAGGAGATTTATGGAGAGAAAAGAAAGAGAAAGGAAAAATGAATGAAGTAAAAAAAATAAAAAATAAAATTTACATCTTTCTTTTTTTGTCCTTTCTTTTCACAAATCCCTTCATAGATAGAAACACAACATTAAAAAACACAAGGTGGGACTGGCTTTTTTTAAAAAAAATCACCTAGACAATGATTTCATATATAATTTGGTTGGTAAAATGGGCCCAAAATCACCAAGCAGGTTGGATACTCATCAAACACAACCTCTATTAAACTAAAATTACAATCTTTTTCAGATCCCATATCATAAGTAGGAGTAAATTACACCAAAACCATTCATAACAAAATTAAGACTCCTACTCTTCTGATCATCAACTAAACATTCGGTATCATCAATTTTCTATTTTATTCTTAAATTATTAACTTCATCTATTTTAGTCTTCAAGTTTATAATTTCAGCTAATGTGTCCAAATCAATAACCATTACCTGATGTGCGAAGAAAACATTTCAAAATTTGAATAATTTAAACAAGGGTAAATACACTAGCACCCCTTCTAAAACTCTGAAATAACACTGCACCCCCTCTATTCTTTGAAATCACACACTGACACCCCGTCAGTTAACACTGTTTAGTGCAATGGTTCAATACTAATAATATCCCTACTTGACATTCTAATTTTCATTCAGTGAAAACAATTCACAGAGAGTTTTCTCCCACCACAGCCACCTCCACCAAGCTCCTCCCATCTATATCTCCCTCCACCGCTCTCATCATCCCATCACCATTTCCAAAAAGGGACAATTTTTATCACTAAAACAAAAGGAAATAAGAATGAAAAAACCAAAACCAGATATAGAAGAATAAAATAGATTGATCCACCAATACACACGAGATTAATAAAATTACCAATCCCAAACCCATCCCCTCAGCCATTTCTTTGCCAAAACTTACCTAATCTCCCTCAACCCCTATCTATTTTCCCCTCCCCAAACCTACCAGATCTCCCTCAGCCTCCATCTTTCATTCTCCAGCTATTTTTGTATGCCATTAGCATGACATCAGTGAATAATAGTCTAACAATAGTGAGGGAATGATCGTAATAATTTTAAAAGTAAGAGAAGTTAGTGTAATTATTAAAACTATAAAAAACTTGTCAAAAACCTGGTAAGTGTAATTTATCCAAAAGGGAATAAAAAAAAATGGATGTAAAAAAATCATGCAGGATAAAATTATTCAATTTATTTGGTTTTAGTTTTTTGAATTTAGTTATTTGAAAATTAAGTTTTTTTATTTTTTATATTTTTTATTTTTAGTGAATATTTTTAAAATTTTAAGCAATTTTTTTTTTTAAGGGAATGATCGTAATAATTTTAAAAGTAAGAGAAGTTAGTGTAATTATTAAAACTATAAAAAACTTGTCAAAAACCTGGTAAGTGTAATTTATCCAAAAGGGAATAAAAAAAAATGGATGTAAAAAAATCATGCAGGATAAAATTATTCAATTTATTTGATTTTAGTTTTTTGAACTTAGTTTTTTGAAAATTGAGTTTTTTTATTTTTTATATTTTTTATTTTTAGTGAATATTTTTAAAATTTTAAGCAATTTTTTTTTTTTACTTTTTTAGATGGACCTTATTTAGATGTATTTAAATAGTAAAATATTTATGAAAAAATATTTTAAAAAATTAATAAATACACAAAATACGAAAAATGTACTAAATTTTTGTATTTTTTTATTTTCATATTTTTTTTGTATGTTTTGATATTTTGTGTATTTTTAAAGATTTTTTTCACAAATATTATATTTTTTAAGTGTATTTATGTTAAATATGTCTAAAAATTAAAAAAAATATTTAACATATTAAAAAATTATTAAAAATATTAAAATACAAAGAATAAAGAAATAAAATTTTATAAAAATTGTTTTCTAAAAACCACAATCAAACTTCGGGATTAATTTTTTGATTTTTTAATTTTTTTAATCAAAAAAAGTCAGTTTTTTTTAATCCAAAACAACTTAACTTTTTGTCAAAAAAATTACCAAAAAAATTAGAAAAATCTAAAAATTAAAAAATTAACTTTTTATCAGCTTTTCAAAAAAAAAAAAGGTTAAATCAAAAGTCAACTTTTCACTAACTTTCCAAGACGCTCCAAAAGTGATTGGTATTTCAAGTGTTCTTTTTGTTGATGTCATATGTCTTTTTTGGTTTGTATTTGAGAAATATGTTTTGAGATAAAAAGTACGAAAATTTGTTTGATTTGATTTTTTTTCAAAAGATATTTTAAAAAATTATTTTGAGAGATAGTTTTGAAAAAAGTGATTGATTTGATGTGTATGAGAAAGATTTGTTTGGAAAATTTGTAAACCAAACAAGTTTTTGAAAAAAAAAATTTGAAAAAATTTATTTAGTTTGATTACTTTTGAAAACTTATTTGTAGAGAATTTTTCCAAAATTTGTTTTGTTTTCTGTTTCGTTAATAGACTTGACAGTATATGAAAGTGAAATTAACCCAGAATGTAAAAAAAACAGAGAGACCATTTGTTGCTGCAAACCTGTGCTGAGGCATAACTTCCATTTTCAACCAAAGATTGAAAAAGGTTCCAGACACCTCTCTCTTTCTCTCTCCTCAACCAAATCTCTAGTCCTCTTCTGCATACTCATCAACACATTATGCCAAGTATTCACCCTAGAATGGGTCCGACCCGACAACCCAACATTCAAATCCTCCAAATCCTCCGCCTTCACCGCCACCACCTCCTCCGGCGCCGCCGTGTCCAGCACCCAAATCAAGCACGAACAGAACCCCTTCGTGATCTCCGAATCGCTGTCGGCTCTGAATCTCATTAGCCCCTTCGAATCCATCTTCACTTCCAACCACACCTGGGTCGTACAACCCATGACCCGATTCGATTCCAATCGATCTGACTCGTCAAATGGAGGAATATGAGAAGCGTAGATTAAGAGCCGCTTCACGCGATCGATCGGCTCAGGCAGAGCTTTGAACTCTGATGCCAGAGATTGAAGCTTTTTGACTGTCAATGAGGGGCAGAAGAGGAGGGAATTAGGGTTTTGGGAAGTTGGAATCAATGAAGAAGACAATGATTCGAGATTGGAGTTGGAGTTTTGGATGTATTTTAGAGGCTTGAATGAGGATTTTCTGTGATTTTGTTTTGTGGGTTTGAATTGAATGTGTCTAGGTTTAGGGTTGGTGAGTTTTGAGGGGATTGTCATGAAGAAAGGTGGCGTTTTTGAGGTTGCAGAGTGCATGTTTGGACAGAGAGCAAATGAAGGAAAGTGGGAAAGAAAAGAGGAGGAAAAAATGTTTAGTGACCGTTGTTAAAGTTAGTTAAGAAGTGCCTCAAACTTCGCACCATCTATCCTCTACCTCTCTCGCTATATAAAGAATAGGGCAAATTACATATACACCCCTCCAGGTTTGGTTAAATTATAGATACTCCCCTGAGGTTTCGGAAATTACATCCCGCCCCCTGAGGTTTGTATTTTCATAACAATTTATCCCCTGAGGTTTATATTTCATAACAAATTACCCCCTAGTTTCTTATGCAAATATAGCATTCAGGGGGGAATTCGTAATTTCTCAAACCTCAGGGGGTATCTGTAATTTTGTCAAACCTGGAGGGGTGTATATGTAATTTGCCCTAAAGAATAATAGAATATGCATTAATTAGTATATTAATTGATATATAATTTAAGAGATTTTTTATATTTATAATTTGTATAATAAGTGAGGTTAATAATAATACCATAACTAATGTTATGGTATAATTTAATAGGTTTTTAGTATTTATAATTTGTATAATGAGTAGGGTCAATAATAATATTGTAACTAGTGTTAGTACACTAATTAGTGCATATAGCACCACCGTTATATAAACTGTCAATGCATGTGAAAAGTATGGTATGCTTTTTTTTTTAAAGGTCAGTGGTGTCCGAATCAATTTGCGCATACCTTAATATCTAGTCTCGTCAAAGACTGAAACTAGAGAATTCCGATCACATACTGTTATAGAGAATTCACAAGAAATTACTTTCTCGCAATCTGGCTTAAAGAATTGAATCATGAGTAATGATGTGGAGAAGCCTACCCACCAACCACTTAAAGCCTGTGTTTGGCAAGTGGGTTTGCAGGCTTTTTTGGCTATTTTAGCCACAAAAAACAAAATAGGCTATTTTAGCCATAACATACAAAACATCACATCCAACCCATAATCATTACATTCTTCTCTCACAAAAAAACTCAAAAAAGCCAAAAAGTCAAAAAGCTCTTCCCAAACAACTCAATTCAACACTCTATTAAAAAATCATAACCAAACAAATTTTTTACATTTAAATCATAATTTCACAACTCACAAATTCAAAATACAACGTATACTCTTAAATTATATTTACAAAATTTTACCAAACGCAACGTTATTTTATCACTAATCATAAGAAAAATGCTTGGGAGCACTAAAAGGGGATCACTAAAAATAGCACTAATGATGTGGCAGTAGGCCCCACCCACTTTCTATGTCTTGTTTTTATTTTTTTATTATTATTATTTTTTGTCATTTCTAATATGTTAGTGATGATTTTTTAATGGTCTAAATCATTGTGCTAATCATAACATACATAGCCTGTGTTTGGCAAATGGGTTTGCAGGCTTTTTTGGCTATTTTAGCCACAAAAAACAAAATAGGCTATTTTAGCCATAACAAACAAAACATCACATCCAACCCATAATCATTACATTCTTCTCTCACAAAAAAACTCAAAAAAGTCAAAAAGCCAAAAAGCCCTTCCCAAACCAAACTTTTTAGCCCAGCTGTGTTTGGCAAGTGGGTTTGCAGGCTTTTTTGGCTATTTTAGCCACAAAAAACATAATAGGCTATTTTAGCCATAACAAACAAAACATCACATCCAACCCATAATCATTACATTCTTCTCTCACAAAAAAACTCAAAAAAGCCAAAAAGTCAAAAAGCTCTTCCCAAACCAAGCTTTTAAGCCCAGACTAAAATAGCTAAAAAAGTCAAAAAGTCAAAAAGCCAAAAAGTCAACCCACTTCCCAAACAGAGGCAAAATAACCATCACAATCACCTCACAGTTAAGTTAATAATTCATTGAAACAAGAGAAAGATTTCAAATTTTTTGTTCAAAGAAAAATTCAGCATGCAATGAAGTGAATGATTTGGTGTAGATGCTTGGAGATTAGAGATAGAGGAAATCTCATATATATATATATATATATATATATATATTTAGATCTCTTCTCACTTTAAGATTTAAGTTAATGACTTAATAAATGGTAGAGATATTTTGAAGCTAAAGATAGAGAAGATCACAAATTTTCCTATCTAAGGTAGATTCACCACACAATGGTGCTGTTTGGTGTAGCTGTTAAAACAGATTAAAGATTATAACTTAACAGATTATAGATTATGACTTTAATCAGAAGCTATTAATTTGTTTGGTATAGTTGTTGGATTATAGATTTAAGTTGCTGAGCAGTGTTTGTTAAATAAGCTGTGAAGTAGCTTTTTCAATTAATTTTTATTTTTTATTATTCACTATTTGTCTACATTTCTCATAAAAAAATAATAATATTTTATAGTCCATTTGGGTCTTTTTCTATTTTTTAAAAAAATAAAAAATAAAAAAATTTAAGAGTATAACCATAAATTAACATGTCCACAGCAGAAGCTGATAATCAGAAGCAATGGGTGAGCAGCTTCTCAGAATCAGCTTTTTTGACTTAAAATAAGTTGTTAGAATCAGAAGCTGTTTGAAATAAGTTTAACCAAACAGTCCAAAATAACTTTTTAAAAGCCAGAAGCCATAAGTTGATTCAAAAAAGTCCCACCAAACACCTCTAATGAAGTTAATGATCCATTGAATGGTAAAAAAAAACTTTGAGAAGGGAGATGGAAGAAATCTTAGATTTCTTCATCACATCATCAAGTTAATGATTTATAAAATGGTAGAGATACTTAAAGATTGGAGGTAGAAGATATCTCACATTTTTCTATCCTAAAGTCTCTCTTCATCATACGATCAAGTTAATGACCTATGAAATCATAAAGATACTTTGAGACCAGAGATAGAAAAGATATCTTAAGATCTCTATTCATCACATGACCACATTAATTAAATATCGAATTGTAAAGATACTTTGAGATTAAAGTTTCAAGAGACTTCAGATTTTCTATCCTAAGATTATTAAGTTAATGACTTGTCGAATAATAATAGTATAGGTAGTTTGAGCTAGAGCAAATAAATTGAGTTATTCGTGCGTTCGGCTTAATTTTTTAAATAAATAAATAAGTTAATCGAGTTAGATTTTTGACACTCGGCTCATTTATCATTTATTTTTATATTTAAATAATGCAAATAATAAGTAAAAAAAAGTTTATTGTTGAATTTCAGCCGAATTTAAATTTGATTACTATTAACAAATAGAGCCAAGTCAGAATTAGATTAGTTATCAAGCTGAGTTCTAAATTTTCAAATTCAATGAACCAATGAATTAAGTTTGTGTTGAAAATTGGGTCAAGTTTAGAACCCATACCCGATTGGGTCGCCCATGGAAAGACCTAGTCAAAGTGGACTTAGATTAAATTATCTTGGGGAGAAGTATGATTAACCCACTATCTCATCTCTTGAGGATACAGAGTTGTTGGAGGTTATAACTCTCTCACATAATATACATATTATATTTGGGAGAGTAAGAATTTAACTGTATGGGTAATCAATATCTCTCTCTCTCTCTCTCCCCTAGACTCTTTATTCTCTCTCTATGGAAACAAAGAATAGTCTTTATACTGTGAATAGTATGGATAGTTCTCTAGTAGTTCTATTCCACTGCTAGGAATTGTTCGAAAATATCAATCAAGGTATGTGATTCGCCTATATAATCCATAGATTCGGTTTGAGTATAAAAAGTACGCCTGAATCTGTTTATTTTTGCTGTGTAATATTTCTTCTTTTTCCAACATTGGTATCAGAGCCATTGTTAGGTATTTTCGTGTTATTTGTGCATGAATATATGTATAGATATGATTTGTGCATAAAAATTGATATTTTTCATGCCATCTCTAATCGTCCTGGATTTCATATATGTTGTAGTTCATATTATTTAGGTCATATCTGCAAAGTTTTGAAAAAATCAGACGGTCGAATTTTGAAAAAAATAGAGATTTATATTTGATTTTTGTAACTTTGATTAGATGTTGGTTTTACATACTTTGTTTTTTTAGACCCCACACCCATGTGAGACATTTAGTCATTTATTTGGTAGAAAATTTGGGATCTATAACATTTTCCTATTTGAAATTATTGTTTCGAGACCTTCGAAACGGTATATTATGGGTTTGATTCCGACTTATGATTGAGGAAAAAACTAAAACCCTAATTTTGAATGAGATTTGGAGAAGAAGACGAATTTGCTGACATTATCGACGCCGCTGACTTGAGATTGACTGACGCGTTGACGTGTGCGCTAACATCATTTGCTTAGGTAATCACTAATGCAAGCGCTGTTAAGACTCTGTTTGTTTGGTTTTCATTTAAAAACTACGCTAATTGCTTCCAAATTATTCGTTATAATTCTGATTGAAACATGATTGGTACCATTGAATTCATAATTCATTTTTATACAATTTATTAAAGGTTCAAAATTTTTTTAAAAATAAAATAATTTTCATTAATGAATAACTCAATATTTTTACGTTTAATTGCTCTTGGATTATGGATTTGAAATTTATACAGTAGACTACTGCTATGTAATTTTATTTATTAGTATATTTTTTTTGTATTTTTTCAAATTCTGTAATATTTATTTTTAATTTTCTATATAATTATTAATTACTTGTAATTTTAGAAAATTCCAGAAAATTGTAGAAATTATAGAAATATATTATGGCATTATTTAAATATTGTATACAGCATGTTAAGTTCTTTTAAATGTTTAGAACTTGTAGTGTGTTTTAAATAGCATGATTTATTTATATTTGTAAATTTTAATTCCATGATTAAATTAATCTAGTATGTTTTCTTTTATGAATTACATTGAGATGTTATCATGTAACGTTAAATATTTTATCATACTTTAGACATGCCATAGTTAGTGGGAGGTTGTTCGGTTGAGAGAAATCTTTATAAATTTACTCCTCGAAAATCAATGTTTTGAATGAATTAAATTAAATTTTAGATAATTATTACTTATGGCACAAGAGATTATTACAAGTATAGCGGATTTTCGATCTTGCGATTTGTGTAATATTGTCACTATTTAGTTTGAATTTTTGCAACAAAATTATATTGTGATATGCTAATCAATCCTAATGATCATTTTTTTTTCTTCTTCTAGTTGACTTAGCTT